CGGCTTCTAACCATTTCTGGCTTGTTACTTTCTTCGACGTCCATATACTCTTCCTGGGCCTGCACCATTGCACAAGCCACTTCCATCAGTTCCTTCTCCTTAAGGTCAGTTTGGACGTGAAGTGTTCCGACATCTTCTGTTAGGGTTTTTAATAATTCCCCTACCAGATTTTCATCAATCTTATCTGAGGTGACGCTATAAGTTCTTCTTTAAACCAGAACTGATTGTTTGGATTTGGTCTCAAAATGAGGAAAAACATGAAATTGAACCAGGAAATTGGAAAAATACATTAAGCGAACGAGAAAGGAAGTGCCAAAACCTCAGAAAAGTTAAAAAGGACCAGTATCCATTATATAACTAAATGAATGTATAGTAGACAGATAAACAGAATATTTCAAGATGCTGCTAAAAGGGGGTCAATTGCAGTTTGGACGATACAGGTTTATTATGTTGAAAACCACTTTATTTTCGATTGCTGAAGGAGCACATTCGGACTATCTTCACTTTGAAGCAGGATATAGAGAGTTATATCGAGAAAGTCATAGCTCTCCTTCTGTTTAGTGCATTTGCAAAAGATTTTTTAAGGAATCAAAAAGGAAAACGAGATTTTCTGAAAGACAATTAGACATTAGCATAATCCAAAGTGTGAGGCACTAAGCAGATAGAGAGCTGCTTTTTTTTTTTTTTTTTTACAATTAAATTATTGCATTATTATTTGTTCGTTAATAAAACCAATATAATGTAAAAAAAATGTTATTATATCACTATAACTAAGCCATTTATGTGTACTGAATGGTTTGGTAGAGGCCTGTAGGCACCCACGCCAGTACCGCTTTTCTGCCACATAAGTGCATTTTCTTCGGAACTGTTTAAAATTTTTTAAAAAATAATCAGCATTTTAGAAAAAGAAATATATTCTCCAGATGTTTTATTTCAGCACGTTTTGCGTTATTGTGGGCCGTTTAATTACAAATGATGCTTGATTTGTAACTTGAAAATTTTTTTGTTAAAAAAATTGACTTTACTGGTGTTTTTCATAGCCTAAGCCAATTATTTTTTAATAATTCTTCATGTTTTCTTATTCTATGACTATTCAGCTTTAATAAAAGACCAACTATGGGGAAATTAAGCCAAATTCTGATTCTCAATGACCAAAAAACTAACTAAAGTCAAAGTTGTCAATCCGCCATGTTTGGATGCCATTTTGGGGCAGTGCGTTCACTTTTTTTTTGTGGGAACATTGGCTTTTTTTTAATAAATAGTTACAAGGAACACAACGATATGCAATTTATAAGGATCTGGGGGGGGGGGAGGGTGCACGGTAAGGGGTTCTGGCCCACCGTGAATAACTGTTGTTATGTGCAGTAAGTAGGCCATTTTAGGTTTGCATTCCCAATTCTTTCCTATTGCTCTTTTACAGGCCCATGAGCATTTGAGGGCTTTGCTTGTCACGTTCTAACCATGTCTAGTCCATGACAGTTTATGGTCCAATATGACTCCAAGGTGTTTTACTTACTTGCTGTAACATCACTAGTACTACATGTCATAGGCAGGAGTTTTTATGATGTGTAAAAATTAAACATAATTTTTGTGAAACGAACAAATGTAATATTGAATATTTAAAATTCATTTGCTTATATATTTGTTTAGTTATATGGATTTCTATTTTTTTTTTTTTTTTTTTTTTTTTTTTTTTTTTTTATACTTATAAGATATACTTGAAAATATATATATATATAAAAAAAAAAATATAATGGATATTTGTTTAGATTAATCACAGAAGGATTGAGAAACAGCCTCCATAACATTATTACATTTCTAGAACTTTTTCAGCTAAAAACTAATGATGTAAAAAAGTAATAACATTTTTGATTTATTAGTGTGTATAATTTCAAATAAAAATACATTTTTCTCAGTCCGACTAGTTGGCTGTGAAAAATATGAATATCACATGAAAATTGAGGGGTTGATTGAGTCATAAAATCCTAGGATATGTTGATATGCACAGTGTCATGTAAGTAGAGGGAAATATTCAAACAAGGAGTAGTAGACCTCAAGAGATATAAAAAATGTTCGTATAAACAATAGTCCGATTTTTGGCAGATAATAGGAAATTTAAGTTTTGTGTTTTTTAAAGTAAGTCATGGTTTTTGATAAATAAGAAGCTATAACTAAAACATACTTTAATATAATTAATTAAAAATTGATTCACTGTAAACTAGATATAATTTACTTTAAATGAAAGTGGAGTTTTTCATTGTTTAAACAATTAAAAGAGGACTTTCGAGCGTATACACTGATTTTTTATAAATGTTTTTGGGGCAGTAAAAATCATGCTATTTTTATTCTAAAGAAATCTGCAGCTGAAGCACACAGAATTCTTTTTGATATTTAGGGTGAGCATACTCTGTCAGACCATATATATTCACTGATTTTGTTGCTTTTTTAAAATAATGATTTTAATCTTGGAGATAAAGAACGCTCTACCACACAGGAAACATTTGAAGACATAGAATTGGAAAATCATCACTAGTAGATGATACAATGGTTTTAAAATGTTTAGAAGCATTAGGAATGATTCTGTAGCAAGAACATTGAAAAATGTCAAATGACATTTTCTCAATTGTGAACTGCTGCTTCATAATTTCACAAGAAATTACTCGGGGATGCGTTAAAAAAAAATACTGTATTTTATAATAGTATATTTTATTATATTGTCCAACATTTCAACCTGCATTGTAGGTCTTCCTCAGGGCTATATAAGATACAAACAATACATATTAGTTATTGGATTTTATATAAACAATATATAATTAATTATAGAAGGTTACAGTATATGTTGATGACCATTGACATTCAGTTCAGTTGGGAAAAGGTAATGGATTATTTGGATAACAAAGAGTATACTAAGGGTAATAAGTAGGAGGTAAATAAGGAATAATAATAATAAGAGTCAATCAAAAAACATATCATTCAGTCAGACATTGATGAAGGCTATATGTCGACTGGTTGTCTGTTGTTTGGGTCAGGTAACAGAAAAACTGACAGATAGAAAGGGACTGGGGGGGTTGTAAAAGTAGTGTTTGTCTGTTGCCGAAAAATTATAAATGGACGAGATAAGAGAAGGCAATTATACCTAAGGTTATTGAAGTGGTAGTTTCCTGCGTTGGTCTGTGTAATAGGTTAAATAATTAAATTCATCTAAAGAAGGTGGGTATTGAATTGGGTATATATATACTCTCAGTGATAAGTCTTTTGTCGTGGTTGGGGACTGTGGCTAATTTAGATGTATTGTCTAAGTGAAATGGATGATTGGAGGCTAGGGTATGTTCGGAAAGTTTCGAGGCAGTAGGATTTTAGAATATTTATGTTGGATGATGCAGTCTTTAAGAAGGTTTTTGTGTAAGAGGAGTTACAATTGGGATGCAGTAAACGATATTTGATCAATGTTGAAGAGGGATTGGGTCTTTTAAGCGGGTGTAAATGTTGAATAATTTGTTATGGTTTTTAAAGGCAACTCATAGGTTAGGCATGGAAGAACATAAAGACTTTTTTATTTGGTCTGAGAAGGAAGAGATATGAGGTAGAGATCTAAATAGCAGGATTAAGGGCAGATTTTGAGAACTCGGAAGGGAGCTGGAGGAGCGAGTTTTGTAGTCATTAATAAGTTTTTTTATGTTGTTGGGGGGAAATTATTAGAAAGTAATATTTGTTGGATGCGTCTTGTGTTTGTTTCATGTAGGCAAGGATCAGGGAGAAAAACATCGTTAAAAAAGATTTTTTGGTGATAAAGTTGTTAGGAATAATAGTTAAGAAGTCTGTTATTAAAACAACAATAATTTATCAATGGCCTTTTCATATCCACTTTCTTTAGATAAATTTAATTAATTTTAATTTAAATATATATATATATATATATATATATATATATATATATATATATATATATATATTTGAGGATCAAATAAATTATATATAATTTGATTGTTTGTATATTTAATATTACACACTCTAAGTGTGTTCTGATAAAGAAAAGAGATATTAAAATAAAATGAACTTCTTAAAATCTTGATTAATATGGTTGATTTTTAAATGTTAATCCAGTCTCCATACTATAAATGAAATTGTACAACTTTTGTTTTCGCCCTGGCGATGTTCTCACATATACGTTCATAGGCCGGGCCCGGTGAAGTTGGCTCTATGCAGTTAGGTCTTCAATTAGAAGATGTCAAAATAAAATATCTCTTCAGCAATTATCAATGTACTATAAACTATGTGGGCTCCTCTGTCGTCTAACAAATAATGGTTCCCCCCAAGCATTGTAGCAATAAACATCGCAAGAAATCTCTTAAATTAAAAACATTGTTGTTTTGAAAGTTACTATGTAAAATTCAATTTAAAATAATTGGACAATAGAGAAGGAGATGTTGCCATAATAAACCTATGAAAATTTGAACAAATCAAATAGATTATTTAGGGAATTATTAAAATTCAAATTTCGTAAGCCTGACTCCCTTGGAACGTAAGGGTAAGGGTATCCACAGTTGATGTGAATCTTCCTCATTCTGATTCATCAAGTTAGGCACACTATTTGAACAGTGCCCATCCTTGCAGCTCTGACATAAAGTGGAACAGTTTAATGCCAACTTCTTACAGCTGCATCTGGCATTGCAGAAATAAAAAAAAAATATGTAGTAGATTTGCTAATTATAAAATAAAAATTACTTTCACTGTTAAAGAAGCTTTGATCAGTACCGGAACTAGTTTATTTGGCTTAGGTTCCCAAGGTCACAACTTTGCAGTAGTTAGTTTTCCAACTTGAGCTGCACTTGATGGAATCTACAAAGTGAATGTACACCTACACACATATGTATATTCGAAAATAATTTTATTATGACTTTGTTTCAGTTAAATTATTTCGTTTCATTGTTTTCTTATCATTTAAATGAAACTATATTAACTGTTCTTTTAATTAAAATTTTTTCTTTCTGTTTTTACAGTTACCATTGCCCCAGTTTTGGAGCTGCCAGGTAATTAATGACTATCCCACCCCATTTTCACATAATTTTATCTCACTCTCTTGACCTTTTCCTGTAATTGTTCGTGTTGCAGTATATATTAGATTTTATTCAAGTAATTGGGAACTGATTATTTTGTTTTTCTTTAATTTTTAATTAACTGAACTTGATTGCATGAGCAGTACTTAAAGAACTATTATTATTAGTTATTATTTTCTTACACTTGCAGCCTCTAATCTTGGGGGTAGGGAGCAAATCCAGTTCTCTGGAACATTTCCTCACCTACTGAGAAAAAATAAGTTTTTCTTTCAAGTTTATTATTATTATTTGTTTTAGAGTGTCCTTGTAATAGAACATCGCAAGTTTTTCTTTGAAATATTTATCTATGAAGGCGATAGATAATCATCTTATTTGATGAAAATTTCTGTCCTGAAGTTTTAAAACCTGAAAGGTGAATTAATATGAACAAATGAAAACCTTTAGCTTATGGAACAATAAAAAGTCACTTAGGGCTTGGCCAGAGCCAGGAGGTTAGGGATTAAATCTTTCAGTTCTATGGTTCTATTTTTCCGATTCTTTGTCTTTTGGCAGTCACCAACAATTGATTTATCATTTAAGTTCTTCTTCTTCCTCCTTGTGTGCCTTTCAGCATGGAGGACCCTACAGCCACTTCGACCATACATCCTGGTCTCTCGCCAATTCCTTCATCTGACATAGGGTTTCCCCTCTTTCCTGACCTAGTCGCTGAATATGTTATCATCTAAGTTAATAAATTTAAAGTTCCATCAATAACTATATTTTTAAAGGTCCAGTCTATTCCTTTTAGCTTTCAGATTTCAAAATCAAGATTGAGGTGATGTAACATAATAGGTGGATTGTCAGTATGTAATGTAATGAGCTCAAACGCCAATTTCAATTGTAATGTAGCTATTTCCACTGTTTAAGTTAATATAAAGGATGACTTAATTTATTTCTATTTATTAATCAGCACTTTTTGGCATTTATTTATTATCTTCTCATTTATTTATATATCTTCATTGATTTATATATACATTATGCTATTCTTAGTTATATATATTATCCTGATTGAGGTTCTAAAGTTTACCATGAATGCTCTGATTATGGTCAAACTTTCTATATTATATTTATATGGTATATTTTCTAAGTTATTTCAGATGAAAGTTACATAAAAATATTAAAATTTATTTGGAAGTTATAAATAATAATAATAATAATAATAAAAGGCTTAGCGAACCCAAAGGTTCGATGCCGACACCACCAATCGCTTATTACTCACCTCCCTCCACCGTTCGCCGTTCAAACCTAGTCCCTTCAGATCGGCTTTAATGCAATCTTTCCATCTTCGCTTCGGTCTCCCTCGGACGTTTACTATTTGGTACAGCAAATATTAACCTTTTGGGAATTCTCTCGTTACTAAGCCCAACAATTTTACAAGCCCATTTGATTTCTGGGATGAAATCACCTCAATTATATTACCCGGATACAGTTCACGCAATTCGGCTGTTGTGTAACCCTCTGAACTCATTCATCCTTCTTCGGTCCGAATATTCTACGCAATACTTTATTTTCAAAAACCTTAAGCCGTTGCTCATCCCTTAACATAAGCGGTCACATTTCGCACCCATAAAGAACTGTAGGTAAGACAATGGTTTTATAGATTTGACTTTTAAATTCCGGGACAAGAGGCGCGAGCTAAGTAGTTTTGTCACAGAAAAATAACAAGCATTTCCCATCTTCAGTCTAACCTTAATCTCTTCTTCAATTTTGTTTTTTCTAGTTATCGTAGATTTTGGAATAGATTCTTTCCCTTCTTCAAGTAATTTCTCATTCTCCCAGATCTTTTTAACCAACCGATGTATGTTAGAAACTCCAGCTTCCCCGCATGCCTTAATTAGTTCAGTAGGAATATTATCGGTTCCCGCTGCTTTATAAGATTTTAATTTTCTGATAGCTACTTCAACTTCCTCTTTACTCGGTTCTTCTATTAACGGTTCCGCAATCTGGTACTCAGAAGGAGGACACAGATCATAATTTCCCATATTTAAAATATTGTCAAAGTGGATCTTAAACTTATTTAATATGTCAACCAGATTGGTCAGAATATTGTTATTTTAATCTCTAATTGCAGACGTGACGGGCCCTAAACATTTATGTGATCTGTTTATACCTTTGTACATGTCTCTTACGTTATTTTCAATTCTATTAGTTTCTGTTTCAATTATTTTATTTTTAAGATACTCCCTTTTTTTATTTTTGAGCAATTTTGTTGTTTCGTTCTTTGAGGTTCGGAAGTATTCCAGATTGTCTTCGCTAGGATTATTTAGAGCTTTTAATTTAGTGGCTTTTCTTTATTCACACATGTTTAAGGAATCTTCATCCAATCACGGTTTGTTATTTTTATTTTCCTTTTTTCCTAGACACGAGTTACCGACCGCTTTAATATTATCCCTGATCTCTACCCATAACTTGTCAATATCCTCGTGGTCCTCGTCAGAAAGCTCTAAAGCTTCAAATCTATTATTAACATCTAGCTCGAATTGGGTTCTAATTGATAGATTTTGTAATTTTTCCAAATTAAAATTCTCAAAATCGAAACGGTTTTCTTTTATCTTTTTTATATTAAGTTTTTGTTGAAGTTTCTCGATTACTAATTCATGACCCGACCCACATTCTGCTCCGTGATATGACCATACATTAATTATACTGCTTTGCCAGCTATGTTTATCGATACATGATCGATATAATTTCATGTTTGCGAATCCAGTGATGTCCAAGTATATTTATGAATATCCTTATGTTTAAACTTATTACTTTTAATTATCAGGTTTTTCGAGATGGCAAAGTTTATCAGACGGATCCCATTATCATTACTATATTCGTGCAAACTTTTATTTTCATGGAGTTTTGCGGTAGTTTATCATAAACCCATTCGAATTTATCGTAAAATTCACATTTTACTTCATCATCACTGTCTTCGGTCGGACAATGTATGTTTATTAATGCGATTTTAAACCAACGTCCCTGAAATATTGCTACCGAAATTCTATCACTAAAGAATTGTACGTCCCTCAAAGTGGATCGCAATCTATTCCTGATTAGAAACCCGGTACCTAAACAATGATTCCCGCTTCCTCCATACCAAATAGTGTACTTTCCTTCCCTCATCGAGCCCTCCCCTGGCCAGCGAACCTCTTGCAGAGCCAAGACATCCAAATTTTATCCATTAACCTCATTCGCTACTGATTTTAAGCACCCTGCTGAGTTTAACCACGTGAATCCCCTATAGCAGTCCCCACCCGGAGACCCGAACGGAGGACTAGTTTACCTGCGGATAATGAGTAAAAAAAAAGCGTTTTACCTTAGGGAGATCCATTTTTTGATTTGGAAGTAGAATTAAGAAATGAAATTTGAATTGTTTACATATCCAAAATCTATCATTATTTCATATGTTTTATAATTTTTAATTTCAGAAGAAGATGAAGGCCAAACAAATGATGATTCTCACTCAGATAATTCACAATCAGACCCACGACATTGTGACTGTTGTTATTGTGAGGTATTTGGGCATGGACTTGTGAGTATCTTTTTCAGTTTATGATTTTATAATTCATATATAATATAAGGGGTACAAGTAAGTTTAAAAAGATTTACTACATAGGGTATTCCTAGTATTATAATACATTGGACAATATCCTTACTACTTTCATGTTAAAGCCTCACCATGTATCTTTAGTTGTCAGTATGTATCATTTTTTATATGTTTGAAAAACATAGATTTTTGAACTCCAAATAAATAGAGTTATGTGTCAACGAAATGCGGTTTGTGAGAAACCTCAATTTTCTGCTTTTATTTTATGAAAACGATACTTTGAATAATCAATTTTTTACCATTTTTTTAACAATAGACATCTTTGCAAACCAAAAACCTCCCCACATCTTAAAATTCCTCACCCCATGTTTTCCTCGTCATAATCTAACTACAAGCTCTCAACCTGTTGATTTGTATCATGGATTTATTACAAAAAGTCATTAAGTAAAATTTCATGAAATGAAATCTTTAAGTTCTTTGATGAATTTTCGCTTTGTGGAATCAAAACCTTGTGTACTTGATGTATCTATTTTTATATATAAAAGATTTTGTATCATTTTAGTGTGTCTATTTTTAATAGAAAATAGGTTTTGTGTCATCTTGAAGTATTTTCTGTGCTATATTTACTGTGGGTTACATTGATTAATAACATCAAAATTTGCAAAAATGTACATTAAATTAAAATTCAGCTCCACCAAAAATGTAGTTAGTTACTTTTTACAATATAATCAATGATATACTCACATATAAAACTGCTTACTTAAGTAGATCTTTTATAATTCATATTATATTTTTTGAATTCTTTATCCATCTATATTTGCCAATCCTGAACCACATATTCCTTTAACACATTAGCTGTGGTTATGGCCCCTGGGATCCGATATTCGTCTCTACTACCAAGTTACCGGGGTTGTTTCGAATTTTGCCTATCTTTCGAAGTTTCAAAATGGTCATTTTTAAAAATATTTGAATGGGAATTGGATAGATGTAAAGATACAAACGTAAATAATCATTATATCTGATATAAAGCTGTAGGAGGCTGCGGACCGATATTATACTAGATTGAAAAATAATTATTTCCCTACAGTATCATCTCCTGACATCCGATACATATTCCTGCCGTGACAGGACAGTGTCCATGCATGTTGATTGAGATAATGTTTGGGACGTTGGTGATCAATTCTTGGGTCATCTTTAACATGTCGTGTCCATTCTTTTAATAAGTCTTCAGGTGAGGGAAGAAAATAGCGAAAGCAGTGCATAGAATGCTACAGAGAACTGAGAAAGAACCTAGGAAGTAAGGAGGCAAATAAGAAAACACGGAAAGTCATTAGTTTCTGTGAGAACTGTGATGGGATGCCTGGATTCTGTTTGCCGGACTTCAACCAGTAATACAAGCAGTTAGCAACTTAATACTTCACTTTCATTTTTCCTTTTTATAAAATAAATTCCAATATTATTGTAAATACCAAATATCTATATTTTTCTTACATTGCCACAATATGGTACTTATTATGTAACTTCGATGTAAATGCCATTTTTATCTTGACATTCAAAAAGTATTACACAAAAAATATATAGATTATATCATGAAAATTATAAATGTATGTAAGAAATAAATTTTTCTCATTTAATTTTCAATATTTAAGATTTATATCCCTTTAAAAAACACGTTTTTACTAAAATAAAGAGAAATAATATAAAACTCATAATATAAATGTCACCGGATGTCGGAGTCCACTCCTACGATTGCTGGCCATTGATGAGGACACAATAAACAGGTAGAGACACTGAATAGGGAATTTATTTCGCCTTTGTTGTCTAAAGATAGCGGTATACCTCAAAACTGATATATGTCTCCAACGTCCGATGCCTTAGGAGCTTCATAACTACTGTCGGTCACCGGGGGTCGATATTGTTGGGAAATACATTTAAGAGATATCATGCTCTGCAGCTAACGTGTTCAACAATACTTATTCCTTCACCTACTTCATAATGAAACAACTGCTTCTAAGAGCAATATTTATTTCTGTCATAACAATTACACACACTCTCTCTCAAACACAACCCCCTCCCTCTCCTTGGGAATTCTAGTTGCCTTCATTCTCTCCACATGATCCAATCATCTTTAATTTATCTTTTTAATGGAGAGACAACATCAAGGGAGACATATAAGAACATCTACTCTTGATTTGTTTTCATTCTCTACTGATTATTGGGTGATATATCCTGTGTAGAATTTTCCTTCCCTATGTGTTTAGCTATCGCACATTTATTAAGATTAGGGTTCCAAGTTTCACTATTACTTCAAGGAGATAATTTATAGGTGTCCTTTTGTAAATATTGTACATTAAGTTTGAAAATTAAGAGTTAATTTTTCATACATTCCTTCAATAACTAAGTCCTTTAAAACTTTCGTGTATATCCAATATTATTTTACATCAAAGTTTATTCAACGCTTTAACGACCAAACGATTCGAGTGAATCTTTCTCCATGAACCAAATTGTTTTTGTTTGTTTTTTTCTCAAAAATTGTAATATACTGTTAAAAATAATATTATGAATTTTTTTAAGTTTTAAAAATAATTTAAAATCAAAAATGGAGTGGGCGTACTCCTGCCATTGTCCATTGGGATATTGTTGGATATTAATTTAATTTTTATTTCCCTATTTTTATCGTTGGTAGTTATTTCTTATTTGTTTATAGTCATTTATCTATTAAATTTGGAAATTTAAACAAAAAAGAGCCGCATTATTGCAAAAAAAAAAAATGTTTACTTAGAAGTGGTATACAACACGTTTATATCTGGCATAAATGTGTTCTTACCTTTCCAGGTATACTGTATTGAAGCGAAACCAAAGCGATATATATTTTCACAAGAATCATGCCTGTCATTCTTCACCGGTAATGTGATGTTTTAACTGCGCATTGATTCCTGGAACAAGTTTGTTAGTGGATCTCAATGGCGGCCATTTATGCCCACCATGGTCTCTTGGGTAAATCAATGAGCACACTTTGGTCGTTAAAGTGTTAAATCTAATATGATCAATCATATAGATTAGTTAGATTCTTCACTGCATATGTAACACTTAAATGTTTACAAATAGCCCTGCTATTAGTCTGCCCCAGATGTGTAAGTTCATTAATTATCACATTTATTATTCAGCACTTGTACTTCTGCTTTTTGTTATTTGATGACCGAAAACAACCATCTGCCCGTGGGCTTCCGTGGAAGCCAATGGATCCCAACTTATACTTAAAATAGAATAGAAAAATAACCACTCCAGGACAAAGTTCTTTAAGAATGACAAAGATGTACAAAAAAAAAAACTGTTATATTTAATAAATAAATAAATAAACAGTAAATAGACTAACTATATACAAAACAAATAAGGAATGGTGGACAATGTATTAGCTACTAGAAAATAATTTTTTTTTTTGTTCACTCCCTACCTCGAATTTCTGGCATCCGGCAGGGGAAGGGGAGGGGAGGGATGAGAGGAGGATTGTTCTAGAGGTATGATCAATCAAACCTATGCTAACCATAGTGGGAAGGTTGAGATTCATTCAATCAACCCTGGCTGGGTCTAAACTGGCACCACTATACTTGAGAATGGTAAAATGGGCAATGCTCTAACTAGCTTGGCCATCACGGCCTAAAAAAAAAGAATTATGTTGACTATTTAAAACATGTTTAAATATTTAAATATATAATCTTACAGTAAAAATTAAATGTAAGGATAAATATATATTAAATTGTTTATAAATGTATCTATTTTCAATTATTTATTTTATCCATTATTTGTCTTTTAGTTTACAATATAATTAATGTAGTCACAAATATGAATGAAATGAAAAATAATTTTATTCTGGGACTAAAGTCCCCTTAGAATAATAGTATAGTTTAAAAAATATCTACATTAGTCTGGCATGTAAGTATCATGCAAATATATTCAAAAAATACCTAGGAAATTGTAAACACTCATATATATATATATATATATATATATATATATATATATATATATATATATATATATATATATACATATATATACACACTAAGATACTAAGGAAAATAAAAATATATATAAAAAAAAAAATACAAAGGAAAATATAAATATCTACAAAAGATACTAACAATATATACAATAAATACTGAGATATAAAACAATTAATAAATAAAAATAAAATGACTTCTATCAATTAACTCCTGGTGACCAACGTAATTATACAACCAAGACATTTTTACAAGCTTCGAGAAGTTTGAATTTGTAATAGGTGGTAGAATAGGAGTTGTTTGAAGGAGTTTATGGACGTGGTTTGACGTATGGAGATGGGTAAGGAGTTCCATAAGGAGGTAGCACGGATAACGAAGGATTTACTGAAAGAAGTGATTTTATGGGAGGGGATATATAAATCTATAGGTTGAGATCTGGTATTGAGATAGTGGATAGATGAGCATAAATTAAGGAGTTCTAAGATGTAGGGAGGGTTTTTGCTTCTGAGAACTTGAAAAAGAAAAACACCAAGAAGGAATTGCCATCAGGAAGTAGGATATAGCCACTTCAACTCAGTGTACCAACAAGAAATATGAGAACACTTGGAAATCCCAAAGATGAATCTTATGAAGCAATTCGTAATTTTCTTCTCGCCTCCAGTTCTGTGGACAGCCCTCCATACACCAGGCAACCGTAGTCGAAGTGGGGGAAGACAAGGGATGTTACAAAGTGATGTCTGGTTTTTTTTTTGGAATGGAATCACGGAATCGAAGGAATTATTTAAGGATATGGATTTATGGGTAATCTGGGAAATGTGGTTGTTCCAAGAGAGGTTCTGATTACTCCAAGGTTTTTGGCTGTCAGAAAGAAATGGGTGGGACGGTTATTGAGGTAAAGTAAAGGAGAGAAAGAAAGGGAACTAATGAGGTGCTTATAGCAGATTAGGATTGCCTTGGTTTTGTCTGCGTTCAGCTTTAATTTAT